TAGTTTTGTTTAGTTCAAACTAGCTTAGTGGACTCCTCATATTTTTTAAGTAGTGTAATCCTTTAACTAATAATGTACAACGATGAGTTAGTCACTATGTGAAAGTCTGTAAATTATTTAGGTATTTCTCAATATCTTAATAAAGACACACCATTGCAGCATGATTGCGGGTTAAAAAAAAAAAAAAAAAAAAAAAAAAAATAAGATTATAATTAATTTTATAAACTTAATGAAAAAATGATATAAATTAATAATTGATAATTCATATACTGTTAAGTAAAAATTTATATTATAATATATAATTATGGTTTAAGGAAAAAAAATTTACCTTAAATCGCTTACAATGATCTGTAGGTAATCACGCACGCATGATAAATTGCCGATCCGCCACCGTGAAATATAAATACGTGGGTGTATTGCTTCGTTTCCATTTTTCCATTACAAGATCGTCATGTATTCTCTTGACACGCAGCAATTGACCGATTATTATGAGATCCTAGAGATTTCACCGTCGGCATCGTCAGAAGAAATTAAAAAAGCTTACAGGAAATTAGCTTTAAAATATCATCCAGACAAAAACACAAGTTCTGTAACGACCGATCAAAGTAAAATAAATGCACGTTTTGTTTTAATCAACGAGGCCTATAGCATTCTTGGGAATGAGGAATGTAGGAAGCTATACGAGGAATTACGTCGCACGGGCAAATCGTATTCCCAACTCAAATATTCTGGTGAAGAGTATGAATACCATCGTGAGATGCAAAAAATACACACGTTGTATCGTGAAATTATGGCGCACAAAGAACAAATTTTAGAACTATCAACCGCCTTTTTGAAATCTGCGGCGTCTCTTGGCTGGATTTCTTCCAGACATGATTCCGAAGGAAGGGAAGAACTTTTTAATGCATATGAGAAAGAGATTTCATCGATCGAATCAAGCATCCTTATAGGATCAAATCGATCCCTCGATTATGAAAGTTCACAACACGACGAAATTACCTTCGAATATGTTCCTGAAGATGACGTCATAAAGGTGTCGGAAAATCCTTGTTGGATATCGATTGATAAAGATACTTTGGTTCTTTCAGATTTTGTAGAATCATACGATCTACTTATTAAATCGGCGACAAATATAGTTTCTCCTTTAATGATGGCTTGCGCGTATGGAACATGGTTAAATGATAAAGTAACGAAAATTTTGCAAAGGGTTGGGTCATTGCAAACACAAATCATAAATTACCTAACGGCTATTAATAAAAAAATGGAGACTGGTGGACATGACTTTGAACCCAAAATTATCGAAACGGTGATTATTCGTCTTTCCTTCGATATTGAATTTGTTTTGTGTAATACATGATTCAATTTCACGTTCTATTCCAGATGAAAGCTGGAATTCAGACCCAAATAAGGAATTTATCCAAACATCCCATTTTGGATAAGTTTTCCACCGGTCAATTCGGTCAGAATAAACATCCCTTTGTTCAATTAGCCGCGACCATAGGCCCACCATTTGCTGGATATTCTCTTTATTGGTTGGTTTTCTTAAAAATTCGTCAACAATTGATAATCTTTGATTAAAGATTTTTTCTCATTCTTATTAGGTCTTTCTTTGTGTTAATTCTTATGGGGGCAGTGACCATCCATCTCAATAAAGGAGATTTGGAAAGTTTCAATCAGTTTTTAGAAATGTTTGAAGGAATTGTTAAATTATTTGACCAAATTACAAAATGAAACATACAAAAACGGTAGTCGTATATATAATTTTCCTTATTGAATGGCCTTAAAGAGTTCACTGAGAATTATTATTGAACCTTTTATTTAGAAAATAAAGTGATAAAGCCGTGAAGGCATGTAATGACTAATACTAGCATGACATTTCAATCTGAAAGAAATAGCAATCGAGATTTCAAACTCTTGCAAAAAAAATAATAATAGTTCCAAAGTATCAATTATAATTACAATTACAATTTCTATCTAACTAGTTTGCTTTTTCTTGTTCTTCTTCGCTGTTACGACTTTGAAAGCTCCTGCACCATTCCCCGAATAGTCCTCCTTTGAACTGCTGCTTGCAGTGTTCAAATCCTTGTTTGTCTTATTGTCCATGTGATTAAGTAAACTGTTCATTGGTAAACCGTTGGCGTCTGCTTTACGCCTTTTGATAAATTCATCGGCAAATCTACGTCCATCAAGGGTAGGCGAATTTGCATAGATAGAGTCTTGTATGATCTCAACAGTGGCCGGGGGAGGGTCGAGTGGAAATGATAACAACATTTGCATAAATTCTTCAACTACACGAATTAAGAAAATGTCAATTCTGAGCGATTTAAAACACAAACAAGAATCATTCATTCAAATACCATTAACGTTGCTTAGTCCGCGCAAAGTCTGTTTACACCACTTTAAAAATTCTTCAGAAGGTGGCTTGGGTGTGGAATAATCTGAAGATGAGGTGACATTTCCACTGCTCTGACTACTGGATTTAACGATACTATTGGTCGTCGCGGGCTTTACACCTGCCACACGAGTTCCATTTTTTAATGCTTCAGCGGGTTTACCAGGTTGATTTTGAACCCTATGGTATATAAAAAATACAGTTTACTTTTAACGATAAATTTTACATTATAACTATAAATAAAAACATATTTACCTCGAAGAGCCCTGTAAATTATTGCTACCTTTATGCTCATTATCCCAAACTGTAGATGAATCCTTAGATGTGATACCCGATTTCATCGTGCCAGATGTACCATTTGTTATCGCAGAGTTAACAGCTGCACGAGAGACTGTCTTGCTAGCTACTGTGGTCCATGCATTGTTCACATTGTTGGTTGGAGTCTTCTGTAGATCGAGCATAGCATGTTTAATAAGATAAAAAAATACAATCTGAACAAATATATCAGAATGCATGAAATAAAATTAACCTTCGCGGCAACAACAGAGACCGTGTCGGCATAACGTTTTCCCACGTTGCTCTGAGTTGTCGTATTACTAGACGCTCCAACATTATTTAAAGCCGCTTGCATCTCTCGGATCTTGTTACGTCTTTTCATCGCCTCCTCTTCCTCTTTCTGAATTTCTCGTAGTGTTTTTTTTGGAGCGGTATTATTGGATTGCCAAGCAGGTGTGGAAACAACTGGGGATGTTGAAAGTGAAGATGAGTTAGACTCATTTGACGGAGTAGGACCCCATGATATAGATGATGACATTGCATCTTCTTTGTTATAGTTAGCATTAACAGTCGAAGCAGATGCGGCTTTTCTTTCCGAAGCCTGTCTTTCTGCTGCCTGCTTAGCTTCCATTTCCTGGATCTCTCGGAGAGACGGAGTTTTTTGTGCTGAATGGTCATCATCTTTCGCCCACGGTGCAAGGGTAGCATTAATCGTTGAATTTGATGTAGATTTTCTTTCTGGGACCTGTCTCTCGACTACAGCTTGCTTAGCTTCTATCTCTTGAATTTCTCGAAGAGACATATTTTTTGGAACGTTATGGTCTTCATCCTTAGCCCACGGTGCGGGAGATGATGGGGTTACGGGACTACTATTACTTCCCCAACCCAAACTAGAAGACTTTGGGAATTGCGGCAACTTACCAATAGTATTAGAATTAATAGGCGTGGAATTTAATAAGGATGCTTTTTCCTTTTCTCCATATTGCTTTTTACGTTCTTCCTCAGCCTGAATTTCGCGCAAAGAGGACTTTGAACGTAACATTTCTTCCTTTTGCCCAAGTTGAGGAGGAGACTTCGAACTTTGTGGCGTGTCGACTTTCTCCTGATTAACATTTTCTTCGACTTTTTTGCCGTATGCCTCCTCATCTCCGAGGGCAGGCTTCGTGACAGGCTCCACGCCTCCATCTAAAATCTTATTATCAAAAGGAGTCTCATGAATTTGTCCACCCATAATATCATATGGTCGCTCACCGTTACGACTTTGTTGCAATCCTAAATTATTTTCTTTCCTTAGGCCAAAGTATCCGAGCTCTTCGGATTGTGAGACACGCGAAGGAGTGACACCTACTCCAGGAGCTATCATTCCCCATGGTGATGCCGAGGGAGGTTGTTGTTCCGTTGTGGCCGCCCAACCAGAAGATCGAGATAAAACATCAAATGGTGAATTAGGTGCATTTGTTATAGGCGCAGATACCGGTCCAGGCATGGTGGAAAAATTTTGATGTTGACGAAGAAAAGTTTCTTGATATGCGTGTTGATTTTGTTGCATTTGCCTTTGTTGTAACATCAAATATTGTTGTCGTTCAATCTGTGTCAAAACCCGTTGATGTTCCAAATATGTTTGAGGTGGTGATACATTAAATGTTGTGGTGTTATTAAATAATGGAGGTGAGTTGGGAGCTTGTAATCGTGGAGACAAATTTCCTGCATTTGAAGTTGACCCCCATGCATTGTTCGTTGTCCCCAGATCATTCCATCCATTTGTTACATCGTTCCTTCCGAAAACTCCGCCAAATTGATATCTATCAAAAGGCGTAGAGGGTACGGACGAGGTTCCTCCAAATGGATTGAATCTTTGCTGCTCCAAAAACAATTGTGCTGTAGTAGGCGAAGTCGGGGCAGCCCATGTGCGTGGAAAAGGATCATTCACAACTCGCGAAGAATTATTTGGCATCGATATTGTTAAAGAAGGTCTTGATCCTATCAGAGGAGCTGAAAATGGTCTTTCGTCGTCGCCGGTCTTACGAATTAGCACACCCAGTGGCTCGAAAGTGGCATCTTCTACCCTTTTAACTAAAAGGCTAAGTACAAAAAATCCTCCTTTATACCACTCATTCATTTCCTGACTACTAAATGGTCCTATAATATATATCATTAATAAATTTAATAATTTTTTTTACTCATTACATAAAATATTTGAGGAAAGTTAAGAAAAGTATACCTTGTATATTACCACTCGGATCTCGATAGAGCCACTTTTGTTGTTCCGGAGTTATTTTTCTTGCATCTGACGTTATCCCATTGTTAGAAAATAAACTTGAAGATCCAGATGTGTCACCAAAGGCACTGGTTGTACCAATAATGGAATGTGCGTTGGAGTATTTGTTGGATTTTCCCGTGGGTGACATTGGTGGCGTATTTCCCACAACATTTGAATAAGAAAAGGCTTCTTTCAATACATCATCGTCCTGGTCTTCAAAGTGGTGTGGTAATAACAGTTGTTGATGATGTTGTAAAACATGCTGTTGCCGCTGTAATAGATCTTGTGGATCCTGTAGAATTTGTTGTTGTTGGAGTAGCAGTTGTTGTTGCTGATGTTGTTGATGCTGTTGCAACTGTAATTGTAATTGTAACTGCAATTGTTTTTGCTCTTGTTCCTGCCGTTGCATTTGAATCTGTAACTGTTCTTGCTCTTGAAACTGAAGTTGCGCCTTCTGTTTCTCGTGCTGCTGTTGCAGCACCTTTTCTTTTTCTTGCATTTGTAATTGTTGCATTAATACCTGTTGATCTATCAATTGCTGATCCCTCTCCTTATCCCGTTCACTTTCACGTTCAAGATCCTTTTCTCGCACCTTTTCTTCCTCAAGCGCAGAATTATTATTATCTTGCAATTTCTGTTGTTTTTCTGAATCATCTTGTCGCTGCAAAAGAAAAGATGATGACTGCTCATTCTGTTCTTGATGATTAAATGTTTCTTGGACCTTTTGATGCTCAGGATTTTCATTTTTCTGAGTTTCTTGCCTCTGTGATTCTTGCCAACCATCCTTATCATTTTGTTCTTGTAAAGACTGTTGTTCCGAAGTCGTGCTCTGATGTTCAAGTTTATATTTTAGGTTCTCTTGTAATAATGATTGAGGTTCCTTCATAGAAACATTCCTCAAACTTTCCTCAATTTCATCGACATGTTCATCCTGAAATTTTTTCTGTTCTTTTTTTGACGTCAGCCTTTCGCTCTGAGAAGACTGATTGTAAGTGTCTGTATCCGAATGAACGGTCTGATTTTTCTTTTCAAATTATTTGGAAAAATAATGAATGACCGCCTTTAATTGAATAATATTTTAAGAGGAGACCTTAAACTAACCTCTTGTTCGACTTTATTGTTACGTTCGGAATCATCTTTTTTAGATTTAGCTATGTATTCGTCGTCCACATTACTTCCCGGAATTCTAAAAACCCCGTTGCTATCAAAAGTTCCTATGGCATGCCGAGTAACCCCATTCCATACGGGATCATCGACTGACGAAGTATTTGGAGTGCCAGATACCCTTGATGGACGACTACTACGTGGACTTGTTCGTTCGCTAAGTACACCACCAGTAATTCCAGCGAACCGTTCCGTCCTAGGAGAAGTCAGTCCGGTACCGATATGTTTATCTCCCCGTGGAGAAAATGGTACTCTTTCCCTCTCTACAACTCGTTCGTTTCCTGAAACCACTCCGCCTGTGGCATTGGAAACGATACGACGAGTGAGTTCGCTATTGACGGATGCACCCGATAGAAGCTAATTTGAAGAATTTCGTCAATGAGTCATCATTAAATAATGATAATAATAATAATAATAATATAATAATAATAATTATTATTATTTTGTATACATATTATATACAATTAATCTTAAAATACGAATATATACCTTGTGTTCTTGTTCTGTTAGCGTTATTAAGGCCATTGGCTGTAATGGCTCGTCACTAGTGACATATTCGTGTCTTTCAAACTCTAGGGGTAATCCCACAGGTTTATATAACTTGAGCATAAACTCTTTGGTGTATTTAAAGGGATTTAATGCCGAGTCGGCATCTGGCACATCCGATTTCTCGGATGTCTCATTATGGATTGAGCGATTGGTTGTACTGCTGTTACTATTTGCAGCAGCCACAGAAGACCAGGAAAACGTGTGTGTACTAGAGCCGTTAGTACCATTAATATTAAAGGAAGCACTTGTGTTATTGTTTGTGCCTCCAGAAATAGCCGAAGCATTTGTTGACACATTGGATGGCAACGATGTTGGTGAAGTTAAACGATTACTACTGTCACTTGTCGGGGTTTTTGGAATACGCCTCATCCTGAGAGTAAAAAAATGTGTTAGTAACAAGATTATTGTCGATAATAATCAATTTAAGAGGCAGTGCAAATCTAATTTGTTTCGAGAAATCGACGAAAAGACGGAAGGTCATGAATTAGATTTCGATAATCTTACCATTCTGGACCAAAGTTCATGGTGTTGCTTGTAGCCATTGTTGCAGTAAAGTTTGAAATAGCTGGAAGTAAAATTGTTTTCGTTGTTTTGGTTTAAATGCTAGTTTGTAAGTTTTCTCACTTAGTGACGAAAGGGGCTGAGCTGAAAGTAAAAAAAAAAAAAAAAAAAAATCGGTTTATTATTGTGTCATGACACACATGACTAATCCAATCAACAAATAGAATCTTTTGCAATATATAGTACTTAATTTTAATTCTTTTAATTTCTTTTTTTAGAAAACCATAAAATATGCTAAAGTCTAACAATTTATATTTTTTTTTTTGAAGTAACCCGCAGCCACAAAGTACAATACTCGGGCAATATACTAAGCTACATATCTAACTAACTTGTTTAAGCAAATATTTTTAAGTTTGATTTTTTAATTCATTATTAATTATTTTTTCAAGTTATTGGAATACAAGAATATATTATAAGAAAGAAAAAGAAATTTTGTTTTAAAAAACTCTTTATCGATTTTGGGATTTTATATAAAAAAATATTTACAAGAAGGTTTATACTTTTTTATATTAATAACATTTATTATTTTTTTTTTAACCTAATTTGAAAAAAATCTATTTTCAATAGTTATTTTATTTCTTTTTTTCTTAAAATCAAATAACATCTTTTCTATTAATAATAAAAAATCTTTAAAAAGAATAGAATAATATTAAAAATCTTTTTTTCTAAATAAAATATATTGCATAAAGTTTTTAATAATAAGAAAATGAATAAAAAAAATTTAAATCTTGATCTTTATATACTTGTTTATTTTCTAATAATTACTTATTTTTTATTTATAAAAATTTTTATTTATTTCAAATTAAGAATTTTAGTTATTATATTAATGATTTTAATATAAATAAATTAAATAATAGATAAATAATTGTTGAATTTTTAATGAATAATTAATAAACTTTTGATAAATAATTGTTGAATTTTTAATGAATAGTTAATAAATTTTTAATAAATAGTTGACAAATATTTAATGAATAGTTTTGATAAATAGTTGCCAAATTTTTAATGAATGGTTGACAAATTTTTGATGAATTATTAATAAATTAATGCTAAATTTTTATTGAATTGCTAATAAATAATTTTATAATGAACTTTTAATAAATTTTTGTCTATAGTTAATAAATTATTTGATGAATTGTTAATGAATTTTTTGAAAATTTATTGTTAAACTTTTAATTAATAAATTTTTGATTATCAAATTTTGATTGTTGAATTTTTTATTATTGAATTTTTGGATTATTTTTTATTGCTATTTTATTACTAAAATAGTAATATACTAAGTAGTAGCAATCAGAAAGAATTCAACAATATTTTTATTATTAAATTTAATCAAATTTGGCAATAATTCAACTATCAAATGGCATAATTTCAACTAATATTATCTATACTAGTCAAAATTATGTCATTCAACTACTAAATTATTGTCAAATTTGAAAAAATTTAATAATAAAAAAATTGACAAATCTTTTATGATTCTTGTCACCCAGCATTAAAAATATTGGCAAAAAATTGACAAAAAATTTTAATATACTGCAATAAAAAAATCAGTATAAAATTTGATAATATTGTAACAAAAAATTTTTTTTGTATACTATAAAAAAAAATTCAACAAAAAAATTAATATTGTAACAAAAGATTGAAAAAAAAAATTAATACTGTAACAAAAAATTTAATATAAAAATTCAGTAAAAAATTAATACTATAGTAAAAATTCAATAAAAAAATTATGGCAGTAAAAAATTCAACTAAAAATTATGGTGATAAAAAATTCAACAAAAGTTACAAATCTAGTATTGAAATTTAATAAATATTTAAAAAGTTTAATAAACTTTACAAAATTTATTAAAAAATTATAAAATCAATTAATTAAATTATTCATTATTTTCCTCTTTTTACTCTTTTACTTGCTTTTTTTTTTTTCTTTAAAATTTCAATTTAACTCTTTTAAAACTAGTCCCAATTGATTTTATCTTATTGAATATTTTTTAAGATTTTTCATTTTTTTCTTCTAACCCAACTATTCTGAATTTCATATATTTATGCACTTTCTCCATTTTGTTTTTTATTTTCTAAATATATTAATGATTCCTTATATTCAGTAATTTTTTATCTTTTAAATTTAACTGTCAATTCTTTATCTTTTTCTATCATTTTTTCTTATTCATATTTGAAATCTCTTTCAAACTATATACTGTAATTAAATTTATATTTTATCAGTATATCCAAGTGAAATTGTTTTTAAAAAGACAATTTTTAAAGAAAGTATTAAAGAAGTAATTTATAATAATTAAAGAAGTATTTAAGAATAGATTCATCAAAAATCCTTCAAACAGTGTTATATGATATTTCACAAGAAATATAGTTCACTAAGAATTCAAGTTTATTAATAAATCAAAAAAGCCAGAACAATTTTTTTTTTTTTTTTTACCCTCTGTCAAGTTAGTTATATGTGCTTTATTAAATATTTGTAAGCTATACATATTAAATGAAATGCTAAAGCTAAATCTCTAACTAACTTACCTGTTTTGATTATATTACTTCTCTAAGTGCAACTTCGGGAGTGATTTATCGCTCTGTTAGAGGTTCAGATGAAAACTCTTCCAACTTTTAATATCATTGTCTATAGATCACTATTGCAGATCACTTTTTTGAGCTCTGACAGAGATCAAAACCCCAATCACCTCATATCATACTTCACTCTATTTAATAGGATTTCTTCTAGCTTCTTGTCTTTGACTCTTTTTTCTTCATATATCAATTTCTTACTGGATCGACTTTCGATAATTTTATTTTTTTTTTCCTGATCTCGTGGATATAATAGTCTTTTTATCTTGTTATATTTGCAGATTCCTGATTTTTGTTCCCATTCAATCATCTTTTCACATATTACATTCCATATTTTCTTTCGAAAGTAATTGTATACTTTTTCTTGCATCTTTATTATCTATTTTCTTGCTTCTTTTTCAATTATCTTGCCATGACATGTTAAATCTACTATTTTAATAACTAGTTCTTCCTCTATTAGTCCCATATAGAAACTAAGTGTGTTCTGATTGGTTTCTATGATTCTTTTTACCAGTTTTGCTATTTGTTTATCAATTTCTTCTATTTCTATTCTATTATCTATTCTCAAGCTTAATTTTTTCTCTTCTAATTCGGTTTTCCTTTCTTTTAAGAGCTTTTTGAATCCTTTCAAGACTTCTTTTATTTCTTTTTGCCATACTTCATTCCACTAAGTCTTGTAAGTTGGGCATTCTAGCAAGTGTTCTATTGTTTTCTCTTTTTGACCACATATAATGTATTTCACTTGCTTATAAAGATCTGGTCTTCTTATAGCCAGTTTTGTAAGTATTGGTAGCTCATCATTAATCAATTTAGTGTGAAAGATTTTGTTTTATAAGTTTTTAAATAAGATATTCTATATGTGTCCCTTATTAAAATATTCCCATACAAGGTCCCATGTATATCTGTGATAGTCTTAAATTTGTTGATCCTATCTCCTTTCAATTCTATCTTGAGTTGTCCATTGGTGGACTGTTACTTTATTATTAATTTTTTTAATAGCTTGTCTTATCAAAATATCTAGTATTATATTCTGCTATTTAATTTCTGTGATCATTTTGGGCGAAACTAATTTTTTCCATTTTATTACTGGCATTCTTAGTGTTTCTTTGGCCAGAGCATTTGCCTCTTCATTATACTGGATATTGGAGTGTACTTTGACCTTGGTAAGTTTGAGATCCAACTTCTTTTTCTTTACGAGATCTAACATATATATTCACAGGGACCAGTTTTGTTCTTTTAACCATCTTTTGTGGGTTATTTTGGGATCATCTTTTTCTATAGTTTTCCATTTCGAGATATAGGTTTGACTATCTATAAAGATTTCAATCTTGCTATCTACTGGGGCTACTAGTAGTATAATAACTATTGCTATTAGTTCTGCTCTAGTAGATGAAGGCCAATTCTCTATACCAGTTTGGAACTTGCTTTTTCTTCCTGCTTCTCCTATTTGTATCCATGTTGTTCACATTCTTATATTTGTACTTCCATGGTTTATTAGGGACCTGTCAGAGTAGAATATCATTGATTCTTTTCTTTGCTTGTTGCAGTTGAGTATTTCAATTAGATGGGATTGATAGATACCTTTTTCAACATGAGCTTTGATGATATTTGTTTTTCAATCCTTTATTTCCACTTGTAATATTCTTTTATTCTGGATAATTATTTGGTTACTGCATATTGTTCTATCTATTATACCTTTCAATACTTCTTTAGAACTTGGAATTTTCAATGAATAGGATCTTCTGGTGGACTTTCTTGCATTGAGATAGGGAACTGTATGTATTTTCTCTATACTTGTTTCAACTATACATCGGTTTTCTATCTTTATACCTTCTGTACAACCTTGACACTGATTAGCTTTAATTCTTGATTTTTAATAGAGCTGATACATTCAAAATGCTCTATCTTTAGCTATCTTAAAGTATTATCTAAAATTAATTTTCTTCAAATTATCTGTTGCCGTTTGAATTTGCTTCTTGTAATCACCCAGAATTTCTATCACTTGTCAAAGTTAGAATTGAGAATAGAATGTTCTGGACTCCATTTTATCCATTTTTCTTTCCAGGTTTCTATAAGCTGTTTTAATTTATTTTCTTGTATTATCTTGGTTATAGATAGGTACCATCCTGGAATAGGTCCTTTGCTTGTTTTCTATAGCAGTTAAAGCATTCGCCAGTTTCGTAGTTCTCTTGTTTCATGGACAACTAGCTGGTCTATATACATTAGTTTATTGTTTCTAAGTGATAA